AGTCCTCCGGGATTGGGCGGCCTATAAATCTAATAAATTAAATTAAATTAAATTAAATTAAATTAAGTAAAAACTCCTAGAGACTACAGGCTCACACTTGCAGTTTTCTTGCAGGCAATGAAGAAGCATCTTCCCAGTCTACCCCCATGGTCCTGAGATTTTCTGGTAGTCTCAAAAATTAAGCAAGTCCAATCTGGACTTGGAGCAAAGGCGGGAAATCTCCCCAGACTGGCTAGTCCCTAAAATGCACAGTTCCAACACTAGTAAACATAAGGTCTCTACAAGCTCTCTCTTGTAGCAAAAATGAATCTCTGTTTATTAGCTTTAAGTTCTCCACCTCTTTTTCTGCTATCTGAAAGAAATATAGATCTGCCTGCCCACATTATCTGCAAAAACAGTTTGCATGGGTGGAAGAATAAGTAATGGTTATTCAGCGTTCTCTTGCTTTCTCTGACCGTCTCAGATTCTGGATCCCTAGCCCTCCATCTTATCCTTGGTCAATGAAAAATGGCTGCCACTCCACATGGTAGTTTTCCAATAGATTTTCTAAAGGTTTGGCTCCAAACGGAAGTTGGTCTGTGGGGAGTCAGGCTCCAGGGATAAAAGAAACAACATGGTTTTTAGGAGAGTAATGCTGCCACCTTGTGGCATCATTGCAAGCCTGAAAAAACTGTGGGAGAAAATCAAAGAATCTTTCCAATAGAATGAACTGTTAAAGATGCATCATTTTCCTGAATTTTGCATTTGGGCCACACTAAGATTTATAAACATTCAAATTCAAACCTATGTCATATATATTTAAAATGAAAATATTTGATATGCTTTCTATGCTTTTAGAATAATTTCACGTTATTGGCACATATATCACCATCGTTTGGCAGCCTCTTGTAGCAAGCTGGACTTGCTGATTTGAAAAAACTCTACAAAACATCTTCCTTGTAGATTAATGAAGGTGCCAGAAGCCAGGGTATCTGCATTAAAGTGATCACTGTATTTAGTGAAATACAGAACAGTTACATCCATGCATTGACTTCTTCTGGTCTTTAATTCAATGGAAGAATCCACAATCTATCCCTGAAAGCATCCTTAGAAATGTCCTTTATGCATAAAACTGCATAAGAAAAGAATGAGCAATGCACCACAACGCACCAGTCCGTGACCAACATCCCCAAAATAGCCAATCAGGATTGGGCACAGGAAAATAAGCCAAAAAACCAATGCAATCCTAAATTGAATTAACAGATGCAATTTAGGCATTCAATCAAGGTCACATGAGGTACTAATACCGCTCTGTAAAGTCTTAGTAAGACCACACTTAGAATACTGTATCCAGTTTTGGTCACCACGCTATAAAAACATGTTGAGACCCCAGAAAGAGTGCAGAGAAGAGCAACAAAGATGATTAGGAGCCTGGAAGCTAAAACATAATGAAGACTGGTTGCAAGAACTGGGCATGGCTAGTCTAGTGAAGAGAAGGACCAGGAGAGACATGATAGCAGTGCTCCAATATTTGAGGGGCTGTCAAAAAGAGAAGGGGATCAAGCTATTTTCCAAAGCGCCTGAAGGCCAGACAAGGAATAATGGATGGAAACTGGTCAAGGAGAGATTCAACCTAAAAATAAGGAGAATTTTTTCTGACAATGAGAACAATCAACCAATGCCTTCAGAAATTGTGGGAGCATCATCACTGGAAGCTTTCAAGAAGAGACTGGATTGTCATATGTCAGAAATTGTGTAGGCAGAGTCTTTGCTTGGGCAGGGGAGTTGGACTAAATGACCTACCAGGGTCCTTCCAACTCTGTTATTCTGAAACAATCAGAGACCAGCCTTCACCAACCGGCTAATCAGAAACTAGCTCAGTTAAAGATCACTCAGAAGTCAGAATACTTTGCTATCAAAACAAGAGCCCAGTTAGTCCCTGCTCAGTTTGCTATGGTCTGCATAGCAGATCACTTTGCCTCTAAGTGATTTTGCCACAGTTGCTGGTGGCAATATCAAGGCAACTGTTCTTGAAATATCAGGAAATCTGTTGTTTAGACCATGGTCCCTAAACCCTGAAACCTAACTCTCTCTCTGCCAAACATGGGTCAATCAGTAAGACTGATTAAGATTTACTTGATTAAGACTGCCAGTTGGCTTCTGCCTTATGATACTACAGTATTTGATTCCCAAATCCTTCCATTCTTCTCTGTGTTTTAATTCATTTGTGTTGCTACTTAAGAACTGTTGTATACATAGCTGTGTGTATCAAAATATGTATTTATATTTAGTTGTATATTTGTGTATCTAGAAACATATTTGTGGGTGATGGGCAAGAGGAGTCTCTTAATCAACATATAATACGTATTTCCAATGGATACCTGTAAAAATTATTCCACTTACATGTAGGGTTGTGCTTCTATTCTTCTAGCCTGTCATCTCAGCAGATGAAAGCACCTTTCTCATCCCAAACAACTCAAAAGCTTTCCAAAAGAACAAAAGAGCCAGTTTCAATTGCTTCCATCTAATGCAATGCTAAAATCTTTGCCCTGGCAGAACCATTTTAAATAAAACAAAGGAGATGATAGAAGCACAATTTGCCTATATGATATGTGTCTGGACTAAAATAATGGCAACCTGGAAAGGCCACATTCGTACTGTTGATTTTGTAATCTGTCTTGGTGTGCTTCATTGTCTTCTTCAGGATCTCTCAAAATAAAGATAATAGTAGGAATGAGGCACATTGTATTTTTTTACTTTTAAGAGCTACATTAAGTTTTAAACCATGTTTCTACTTTGTAAATTCTTTTCTAGTTTAATTTGCATATAGAACATTGTGGATTTTTAACAATTAGAGATCATTGCTTGCATAACACTTATTCTGAAAGTGGCAAGTAATTTTGAACATTTCCCAAATTGTCAAAATCATGTTAATAGAA